CTTACATTTTAAGTTGTTTAGTGAACGTTTATGCAATCACTTCAGTATCACATGAGATACCCTGATGGATTTTTGTCTTTGTATGACGCTGTACACTGTCTAGTCTTTGCCACGGTTTATTGATGTACCTGTATTATTATGATGGTTTTCAGTATATTTTAAGGTACAAAGCAGATTCTGGTACTACAATGCATATGCCTGGATAATGACTTATCATATGATATGACGTGACGATATATTCAGTAATGAAAAAACATTAAATGGCTGTTCAATGTCTCAAAGCACCAGCTTTAGGATATCAGTCATTTACACAGAGGTTATCATGAAAATCAGTAAATACTTCCTGAAATCTGCACAGGAAGAGCGACCATAATAATTACGTCCTGTGGACTGTAGCTACATCAGAAGAGTTTCGAAATGTGCTCGACCTTATGTATACAGGGCAATTTATTTTTGGGAGAGTGGGGAGTAACATTCATTTAACCTACACTGTAAAAAATGGAATGAGCTATTTACTTAAAATATTGATGGTAATAATATTACACATAATATTTTTGAGTAGTTTTGCCAGGCTTGATTTTTTTAATGGAATCTACCTGAATAAATCATGTGAAATCTCCTAAATTAATTCATCTATGACACAATGAATTTAATAGAATTAGTGAAATGTGCTCATTTATTTGAAGTTGATTCTCAAAAGTCTGTGATTTTGAGTGAGGTATTTTGTACATTTAAAAGGCTGTATACAGCCAAACAGCTCAAGTAGGAAAATACTTGAGAAATACTGGAAAGTACTGCACTAGCACAAGCAAAAGCTACTGCTCATTGAACAAGGCGTAATGCCTTAGAGGAGTAGTATCCATAACCATAAGCTCTTCTCTTCTGCACAATGGTAAGGATTGCACGGTGCAATGGAAACTTCAATGAAACACAAACTCTTTCAAATGTCAAACATAACTGAACATTAAACATTAATAGATGTTTCCCTTCACTCAAAAACACATAAAATAGCATTTAATTTCAAAATGTACTCTCCATAGCCAGCCATATGCAAAGCATGCTCGGAACTAACAATCACCTCTAGCCTTCTTTCCTTATTTTTTTATTTATTTAATCAGTTCCAAACTCATCTCTTGGTTTTATTAGTAAAAAGTCCTCAATATTTTCTATACAACACTGAATCACAATTTCTTTAATGAAATATACACAATATTTGTAATTATCACCTTAATTTTTTAATGAAAATTACAAGACCCATGATTAATTTTTTACAGTGTAATAGAAATGAGCTACATGGGTGACCACTGTATCATACATGACTGAGGTGTCAGAGATGTGCAAATCAAAATTATTTTTACAAAACTAATTTTTAATATAAACTTCTTGCACAAATTGTCAAATGTCTGTTTTCTATTAGTGTAACACAGCCCATCTTGCAGCACTCTTTGTACTTGACATTCATTTTGCCGTTTAGGGATGAGTTGTAGATATTTAAACTACTTCAATTTGTAGCAGACACATATTCTAACAAACAGCATATCAAAGTTTGAGAAACAAAAACACCGAGCTACAGACCTTGAAACAACTGTGTTAGATCACTGCTCTCCCCTACAGGTAGCCTATTAGTTATGAGAACTAAACCTACCCTGGACCATGTAGCAAACAACATAAGCTACATTACACACTTGCAAACGGATAAAACAACTTAAACACACTGTGTAGCAGGAAAATTGAAGAACGCATGCTTCAAGACACAAATACTTTACAAGAAACTCTATTTACATCAAGAATATCGAACAGGTGTGACAAAACACGGGATCATAAAACATCGGATAACTGAGTAGTCTTTCCCTCAGTGTTGGGGAAAGTTACTTTTACAAGTAATGCATTACAATATTGCGTTACTTCATTAAAAAGTAACTAATTACGTTACTTAGTTACTTTTTATGGAAAGTAATGCGTTACGTTACTTTTTAAATCTGGACAGGGCTTGCTTGTTTGTTTTTAAAATAAAAAAGTTCTATTTTTGGCAAATATAAAAGCCTTTTCACACCAAAAGTGAAATGAATAAGCCTCAGGCTGAAGGGAAAGTACATTTACGTCCGTACAGTAGAATGCAGAAGAAGAAATTTCAACACACTTCAGCAATAAAAAAAGACTCACAAATGTTTGTCTAGAGTAATTTGTGCATGTTAGTACGCTTGAACTGGATCATCGAAGACATTGGTTAATAGAATGGGATTAAATGCATAAAGGATATTTGTGTTGTTTAACATTTAATTATTGCAGGTTTGCGTCATATTCTGAGTTGCATTATTTGTATTCGTTTTGAGGAATACTGAATCGGCGTTGTTTTTTGTGAGTGAGATGAATTAATGCATATTCATATTTGTTTTAGAACTACAATAACATCTGATTTCTCTCACCGTGGGGACAGGAGAGTGGTCAATCAATAAATTGGGGGGAAAAGTAACTTGCATTACTTATTTGAAAAAGTAACTCCGATATTCTCTTGTAAATTAAAAAGTAATGCGTTACTTTACTAGTTACTTGAAAAAAAGTAATCTGATTACGTAACTCGCGTTACTTGTAACACTGGTCTCAACACACAACATCTGAAGAAAAATCTTTTGCCCACAAAGATCTGACCCTGTTAACCATTAAAATGATACTGTATCTGATCTCTTATCTTTCAACAAGTAACAAGAGTCGCGCGACCAATGCACCACAGTCCTCCGCCGCCTTTATTCCTACGTTACTTCTGCAGCTCAGATTCAGAGTTTCGTACATCGTTGTCAGGATTAATTTATTTTCTCATGTATATAATCTGAGACTAAATTGCCCAGTTTAACATTTCCCACAGAAAGACAAGCGTTTGCAGACCCGTTGTAGCTGGGTCGGTGTTCACGATAAAGTCTAGTTTATAAACATGCGGCCAGCGGTTTTAAAAACGGAACTATGAATTACCTTTTTTTCCAAGGAAGTTTGTTTATACGTCCCTCTCCCGTGCCTGCGCTCGCTTTGTACAAGTCCCGGCGAAGCGTCCTCTTCGCTCATGCGCACAAGAGCAGCACAAGAGCAGCACAAGAGCGGCACAACTCGCGCTGAACTCGACGCGAGGCACAATACATGTTCCCTGACGCGAGAGCGTGACGTACAAATAACTAAGTACACAAAGGCAGGTGCTCCTCTTACTGCTTAGGCTACTATATCAGCAGAGCCTGAAGGCCAGCCACGTGGTATATGTTTCAAGAAAAAGATTAGAATGGTTTATTCTATAGCTGGGATCTATATCTCTTCTGGGGCATTTTCACTTTTTCCTCAAGTCATGCTAGCATGTGAACTTTGCAAAGTTGTGACTTTTATGTTGGTTTTACTAAAAGCCTTTAATTTTAAGTTGAATGTTCTCACTTCTGCTCTGTGTTGCACTTATTTGGGGAATTTAAATGATCTAATGTGTGGCTGAACAAGATAGGCCTACAGTCAGCTAACATGCACCTTGCAGAATCTGTAAAATTGTAATAATTTGTATTGTTAATCATTATTAATAATTTTAACAAAATAAGGGATCATAACATTGCTTGTTATTATTATTATTTTTTAATCTAGCCTGACTGCTCTCCTGAATAAGTGCTTTCACATAAGACAATTTCATAGCTGAATTTATGAAATGCCCTATTCAAAATTTACATAATATAGGCTTGATTCTTAATACTATATGACCAATTTAAAATGTTTATTTGTTGTCTGATTTGGACATTTTTATCTTGTATCTGACATTTTATGTTACAAGTTAATCTTATGTTATGAGAAATGTTATCTGCTAATCTTGACTGTGTATGATTTTTTCAATCATCCGAGGTGTAGTTGATGTTGGTAACACTTATTAATGTATTGTAGCTAATAGTTGTAGTTTATTACAAGGCATTTGTGTCATCTAATCATCTAAATTAAATCTATGAAATTGAGATTTAGAACATTTTGTTGTGCCTCTGCATGCATTGTTCTCTACCCTGACAACATTTTTGACAAATTAAATTGCTAACATTTTTACATCTGTCTGTTTTATTTCAATTTTGTAGAATTACAAATTGATGGCAATGCTTATTTTTGTCATATGATCATTTTCAGTTACACATAATGTGTTTAAATGACACGTTGTGTGTTAAATTACATTACACAGTAGATGTGTGATCCATCTTAACACACAAATTGTGTTAAATTTGACACAACATGTGTTGTCCCTGAGCACACTCACCACATGTCATTACCTGGATCACATTTGGTTTGTTTTTTGTGATGTGGCTGTATTGGAGGGTTGAGGTGGGATGTTTGGCTTCACGTAGGCCATTAACATTGTATACCGTATGAGAGAATTTCTGAAAATATTCAAAAGTCTAACAGCATTTTGGATGCTTCAAACAACAGCCATGAGTCATTTCGGTAACACTTTACAAAAAGGTTTCATTAGTTAACATTAGTTAACTACTTTAGTTAACATGAACTAAGAATGAGTAATGATTCTACAGCATGTATTAATCTTAGCTAATATTAATTTCAACATTTACTAATGCATTATTAAAATCAAAAGTTGTGTTTGTTAACATTAATGCACTGTGAACAATGAACAACTGTATTTTAACTAACTAACTAACTAACGTTAACAAAGACTAATAAATACTGTAATAAATGAATTGTTCATTGTTTATGTTAGTTAATACATTAACTAACGTTAACAAATGACACCTTATTGTAAAGTGTTACTGTTATTTCTTGAATAGAGGTAATTCTGAAGCTTGCTCTTTATACATTTTAATTAGCAAATAACATGTAATTGTAATTATTTAAAGTTTATGAGAACTTTATGAGAACAAAGTTTATGCTGAAATAGGATCATGACAATGCTTCTCAGAATACAGAACACTTAACCAGTACTGATCTCTAGTGGTTACATTAGGTAGTTCAGTATGGAGCCACAATACAAAAAAAAGCATAAATTCATGAAGTACATAGAAGTCCCATCTGAAAAAGCTAGCCTTACCAAACACTCTGCCATCACTGCATCTTTCTCATTATAAGGCAAATGCTGAATATTCCCTGCTTAAATATTTTTTGCAATGAAAATTCCTTATAGCAATGTAGCTCTAAATGTAAATTGCATATATATGCTGCTGCCTACTTTTCATACTGTCTATATCAGAGAAATGTCTGAAGTATATCTTAGTAAATGTTCAATCTCTTGCATACATGAGTAATGTATGCAAGTAGGCTATGTATGTGTTGGGGGAACCACTCTATTTGTTTGTTGGCCTTTCTTTTAAAAAAGAGATAAAAGTGCCAAAAGCCGCTCTAAAACTAGCCAACAAACCAGCCTGTCCAGTAGTCTATGGGAGACAAGCTAAAACCAACAAACAAGGCAGTGTGACTAGTAGCAGATCTATACAGGTGGAGCTGGGGAAGGTGGAGGGTTTTTGAAGCAAGCTGCAACTGCTATGGCAAGCCCTAGTCATATATTTGAATGGCCATCTAGAGTTTCATGCCAGAACTCTGTATATAATAGAGCAACATCATCATTAATCATTAAATGACTGTTATGAAAGTCAAGATGCACCACTACTTTAGTAATATTTAATTAACAAAGCTTCTACCATGTCTTCAAGGGTAAATACGTGGTTTGCTTTGACCCTCTTGATGGTTCATCCAATATTGACTGTCTTGCTTCAATTGGGACCATCTTTGCCATCTACAGGAAGGTATGCATGCATATTTTTAATAGATTTGCAGGTATACAGCCATGACAGTCCATGTGGTTTCCATCCTAGTACGTGAACACACTTTAATGATTGCTCTGTTCAAAGTGCACAGACAGTGACCCGTCTGAGAAGGATGCCCTGCAACCTGGCAGAAACATAGTGGCTGCTGGATATGCACTATATGGCAGTGCCACCATGATTGTCCTCTCCACTGGTCAGGGAGTCAACTGCTTCATGTTAGATCCAGTGAGTCAGTTTTACTCTACATAACTTGCACAGTTATCAATTGTGGGATCATTTAGCAGTGAATCATTCGGTACAGTTTATTCAGTCAACACAAAGCAAACTAAGAATATCATTTTTTTTGTGTAGTAAATCATTTGTAGCTTGAAATGATATGATTCATAAAGCTAGGAGGAATAGTTTGAAACAGCATAGTAGTTTCATTTTTTTAATGACTCCCGACTTGCCCCAATTTAAGAAGTATGTTACTGTAAATGTGTCTTCTTCTTCTAAATAAGCCATGCATTCATTAATTTATTGTGTTATTTATTGTAACATCAGGCTATTGGGGAGTTCATTCTGGTTGACAGAGATGTGAAGATTAAGAAGAAAGGCAAGATCTACAGTCTGAATGAAGGTTATGCCCTTTATTTTGATCCTGCTGTCACAGAGTACCTGCAGAAGAAAAAGTTTCCGGAGGTTCAGTATGCAATTGAATAAACTTTTTCCACTTAAAACGAATCAAATCATTATAAAAGCTGAACAAACGCACACATTTCAAATAGACCTCAATCACATTTGCATAATCAAATGCATGGTACATCAGAAAAATAAATATTAATAATATTGTACTACTAGAGTATGACTATTAAAATGTGTTCAGGATGGCAGTGCACCCTATGGAGCCCGTTATGTAGGCTCAATGGTGGCAGATGTGCATCGGACACTTGTTTACGGAGGAATCTTCCTTTACCCTGCAAATGTGAAGAGCCCCAAAGGAAAGGTACTTCATCTAAACACTGTTTACATTCACATGACTTTGCGTATATGAATGCCAATAAATGGGACTGTTAATGGACAGCATAACAACTAACAGCCTGTCCTAAAAGTTTATTATTATTATTTTCACATAAAATTGTTACTCAGGTCTTAGTTAAAGTAGTAGCCTAATGGTTAGAGAGTTGGACTCATAACCCAAAGGTTGTGGGTTCAAGTCTCGTACCGGCAGGGATTGTAGGTGGGGGGACTGAATGTACAGCGCTCTCTCCCACCTTCAATACCACGACTGAGGTGCCCTTGAGCAAGGCACCGAACCCCCAACTGCTCCCCGGGCGCCGCAGCATAAATGGCTGCCCACTGCTCTGGGTGTGTGTTCACGGTTTGTGTGTGTTCACTGCTGTGTGTGTTTGGATGGGTAAATGCAGAGCACTAATTCTGAGTATGGGTCACCATACTTGGCCACATGTCACTTCACTTCACTTAGTTGTTGCTTGATAAAAGTCTTATTCAGCAGCCCAAAGAAGTATTTGGACACTTAAAAATGTCTGAATGCATTAGATAAATAAATGGTGGCACCTGCTAACGAATGCTAGACCAGAATTAACTTCACTTTTCTGAGCCATTTTGCAATTGGTTTTAACAAACTGGTTCCAAGGAATTCTTCTCAAGTAGCCACAGAGTTATAACCACAGGTGTAGTTTGTCACATGATCCACTATGTTTGACTATACAGCAAGTAGTGTATTGTTTAATTCATTTAATAACTTTCATATAGTCACTTAAAAGAGTCCATAATGTTTTAGGGACACTGTACTATTCAAATAAATACATGAATGAAGTGAAGACATGAAACGTATATATATATGACCTTGGCTCCAGTTCTTTTGTTTGGTGTCACATCTACAGGTGTGTCAATGTTTACTCCCTCTTATCCAGAAGACCTGAGCTGAAAACGGATCTGTTACAGTTACATTGTAGATACTTGTGTAATAACAGTTGTGCCATGCTATCATTTCACAATATCATAATTCAAATACCTTGGTGAGAAAGCTTTTAACTTCATACTCAAAAAATGTGTGACTTGATCGTCACATGCACAAAAAGGCCTGTAGAGGGAGCTCTAGCGCCCTAACTAGATGTTCTTGAGTAAATATGGGAGGAGGCTGGTAGAGAGTTGTAAAACTTCGTCTGTGTTCTTCGCTCTTCAGCTCAGACTGCTCTATGAGTGCAACCCCATGGCCTTCATCATGGAGCAGGCCGGAGGGATGGCCACCACAGGGACCACCAACATCCTGGACATCCAGCCCGAGAGCCTCCATCAGCGGGTACCTGTGGTGATGGGTTCCCCTGATGATGTCCGAGAGTACATCTCCATCTTTCAGAAACATCATAAATGAAGAGCAATAGTCAGAATGTACAACTAAGACTCAAAGAATCATGAAGATATATAAACACTCCAAAATAAGATACCAAAGTATTCATACTTTCAAAATACCTCGATATCAAATCACTACCCCTAAAACCAAATGTTTTTATACACTGTATGCCTCCATGAAGAAATATAAGAAGAATTTTTGAGGACAGTGATTTTTTTATTTTTATCTAAACTTGACATCAGTAAAGTAGAACATTTAGTTGAGGCTGTTTTTAGAGAAACACACTGTTTTCCACATTAGATTGTTTCCCTGAGTGTTATCGGCTGCTGAAATTGTTGTTGGCCAAAAAGACAGAAGCAAGTTCATGGCAGCAATGAGGATGATTTGAATTAAAGTTGATCTTGTTTCTGTCTGTACAGACAGACCAAATAATCACTTGTGCCTTATTGCACCCTATTGAGGGAAGCTGTGAATAAAGTTCTTGACAAAACCAGAGCCTTTCTGAGATATGTTTGTGCTCTGTTAACAACTCTTACATTATGTAGATGTTTTGATTTATGATTTATAATGTCCAAACACTAAACATTACAACTTCCGAATTTCTTTACAGTGTGCACATTTCAGTAAGCCTCTGAGAACACAGCACTTGTGAATGAAAAATGCTACGTTTCCTTCATCATACAGTAATATTTTCCTATATAACCAGAGATTTTAATACAGGACATACTGTACAACAAGTTCAAGCAACCAAATGAAGAGCAGATGACCTTTTCTCTAAAGGCCAGTAGAGCCCTGCTGACATTTGAGACACATTTTGGGGTGTTGCTGTACATGACCTTGGTCAAAATATGTGCATGCATATCTGTTTATAAATTATACTCTCATTTAAAAAAAAATCTTATGATAATTATTTGTAGCATAGTACAGTAGAAACATGCTGTGCTCAGATTGAGTATAGAAATGATCAGAGAAATGCTTCCCTGTGTTCAGTGAGCTCTCCTCTATTGGAGTCCTCTGCTTTTCTACTGTGAGTGAAATGTTGTCTGGAAAGTTCTGATCCTAATAAGATTATTATTTTGGGCTCTGTAGCAGAGGAGGCACTCACATTTAAGGCAATAGGAGCAAGAAGCAATAGATTGAGTGCTTGTTTGGAAACGCATCGGCCAACCTGTCAAATCTGGAGAGCGACGTCTGTACCATTGCTTAAATGTATTGCATAAACACTGCTTGTTGAGGATTAGAATTTAAATGAAGTTCTCAAGAAAGCATGTTAAGTGCACTTTTCAGTGCTGTGAATCAAATATAATGCATAAGCAGCATGCTGTATATTCATTTTCTTAAAACATGTTTGATGTGTTTAGTCACGCTTACAGGTTTGATTTTTAGTTATAAGGGACACATTTACATATAAATATATATACAATATTATTAATGAGATCCATTTAACAGACCTCCAGTATTCACTGGGACATGATTGTCATAAACAATTGTGAGCTTTGCTTCATGACCCATGACCTTTTGACTCCTGAGCATGTGTGCCGTGTCAATAGTGGACATAAATAATTAGCTGAGAGCCAAGGAACATGCTTTATAAGTTGGGCCCTTTGAGCTCTGGCTCTACTAGCATTCAAACTACTCTACTGTCACTTGTGTTACTTGATCTGCTTCACCAATATAACCTTGGCCTTCATCCACTCACAGTATATGTAAAAAGACTGCCTAGTGGCTCTACAGTTAGTCTCTGCCTGTCCAACTGCTTGTACACTCGGACACCGTGAGGATGTCGGATCAGTCGGTCTTTGATGTGGACGTATGGACCCTCACACGTTTTGTCATGGAGATGGGGCGGCAGGCGAAGGGGGCCACCGGAGAACTCACACAGCTCATTAACTCCATGTTAACAGCTATTAAAGCTATTTCATCTGCTGTCAGGAAAGCCGGACTCGTTCACCTGTAAGTTTCATCGAATTATTTAGCATTATGTGAATGAATGTTTTACTGTAACTGTGTTGTCAAAACATGCTGTGACTGTATGAAATAGAAGCGGGCGAAAGTTCTTTCAGTTCAGCCAATGATCCAATACAAATGCGAGATCAAATAGACATAGTTATGGTTTTTGAGAAAGTCCTCGTTTAAGTTACAGTTCTAGTATGGGTAGTTAAGAAATAAACTCTTTTAGTTAGTAATGTAGTTGTCTGTAAAGAAATACTATTAATATAATATCATCATAATAATACAAAAATAGAAATGATTCATTACATTTAAGGCTGCTAATTTCTAATTTACTAATCTGATTCTTATGGCAGCGCTATTTAAGAATAAGGAAATATCACACTTTAAAAAGTTTATAAAACAAAGATTGTTGGTGTACATTTTAGAAGAAAATACAATTTCAGTCTTTCTACTTACCATTTCTTTAATTATTTGTCCATTTTAATAGCAATTTATAAGTGAAAAAAATCTTACACATTACACCGTTTTTCCAGTTCAACATTTTATCACTGTTTTTGCAATTGAACCTCAGTAGCTGCTTTTGAATAATATTAGTATGTTCTGGTTTCACTGAACACAGTCAAGGCCTTGCGGGACAGGTGAACGTCACAGGCGATGAGCAGAAGAAGCTGGATGTGCTTTCCAATGATCTGATCATAAATATGCTGCGGGCCTCTTACGGCACCTGTCTGATGGTTTCTGAGGAGAACAAGGATGCCATCTACACACCTGCTGAGAAAAGAGTATAATCATTCTCAATAGTCTTGCTTATGAATACTTTTTGAATATTCATTGTTAAAGTTCATCCAAAAATTTAAATTCTGTCATTATTTACTCACCCTTATGCCATTTCAAACCTGTAAATGATCTTTCTGTCCACAAATAAGCAAAGACGTTTATGTTGCTCTTCATATATTAATTTTGAACACATGATGTGTTTATAAATGCGTTATGAATGAACCAAAGGTACAAGAATATTAATATATTAATATATAAGCATATGACAATAGGTTCTTATGATTAAATGGAACTACTTTTTAAAAACATGGTTATTATATAAAAGAGAATAAATTGGCTTAAAATGTGTTTGCTTAAAAGGCAATAACGTATATACATACATATATTTATGATATTTAGAAAACTGTCTTAAAATTCCTGGCAGTTTACATCACACATCAATCAAAATTACAATGTGTTAAATGAAGGGAAACTTTAAGAGTCAGGTACTTAACATAAAATTACAAGTCTGGAATAAATAAATAAAACCTAAGAAACGTCCATTTAGTTTCAAATGAATTATGGCTGCTATGTAAACTATTTGTGTCAGGCTTACATCTCTTTGCTAATGCATTTTTATTAGAGTTAATTTAGATAATTACCACATGAGGTCGCAGTACGTCTGATTTCAGCTGCATACTCAGTTGAATCTGTTGTTTATCATAGGGGAAGTATGTAGTCTGTTTCGATCCTCTGGATGGCTCCTCCAACATTGACTGTTTGGCCCCCATAGGCACCATCTTTGCCATCTACAAAAGAGTGAGTGTTTGGACGGCATTAGTTGCTGCAAGATGTTTGGAGTTGCATTTTGTGTACTTTTGCATGCATGCAAGCAAACAAAAAGAATAATAATATAACAGAATTAACTTTCGTGTAAGCTTTCTGTCATGTGTGTGTGAAAAGGATTGGTTTGATGTTTGGTGTTCTTGTGCTACTTTCCCATGCAGACTGACGAGGTAGCTGACTGCATTGACCTGCCTGATGACAAATATTGGCTAAGCAATAAATTCAATTGAACTTTTAATTTGATTTTATTAAGTGCACTAGAGTGTAACTAATAGCAACGGCACAGCTGATGATCTTATTAGTTTATTGTTTAACTTTCATTGTGCTTTATATCTTTTATCATGGTTAGAAATACAAAACTGCAGTAACAAAAATGCAATCTAGATGGTGTCGTTGGGTTTGCTGAATGTTGACGTGTGTACAATTTAATTTGCTTTAACTGTTATTTTTAAACTTGCATTATATCAATCAAAAACATGCAATCAAGATGTGTCACAACAGACATCTGAATAGTTTTTGATTGTTTTTATGAGGCTCCAGTGGCAGACGGCTGACTCTGTTGTTTCTCCTGTTTCAGACCTCTGAAGGAGAACCGACAGACAAGGACGCCCTACAGCCGGGCAATCAGATCGTGTGTGCGGGTTACGCTCTTTACGGCAGCGCAACGCTAGTGGCTCTCAGTACAGGAGCTGGAGTTAACTTCTTCATGCTGGATCCAGTAAGCACAAACAGTTAAATCTGCTGAAATGATCGATTAGGAATGAATAATAACATCAGGGGGCGGTTGCATAAACATGTCACTATGTTAAGCCTGTGTCTTAAAGGGATAGTTCACCCAAGAATGAAAATGTGATGTTTATCTGCTTACCCCCAGGGCATCCAAGATGTAGGTGACTTTGTTTCTTCAGTAGAACACATTCGATGATTTTTAACTTTAACCGTTGCAGTCTATCAGTCGTATAATGCATGGCAATGGTAACAAAATCTATGAGAGTAAAAAAAACATGCACAGACAAATCCAAATTAAACCCTGCGGCTCGTGACGACACATTGATGTCCTAAGACACGAAACGATCGGTTTGTGCGAGAAACCGAACAGTATTTATATCATTTTTTACCTCTAATACACCACTATGTCCAGCTGTCTTTGTGCGCGTCCGCGGGATCTGGTGTGTGAGGTGTGTACGCGCTCTGGCGTAGTTTACGTTAATGGGTGTTGATATCCAGCCGAAGAGCAATCAACCATAACTTCAGGCGAGCAGGCTCAGAAGTTGGGAATACGTGGAAAGTCACCACTCCCGAATGAGTTTGCGCGAGAAAAAATAATCTTTTAGTTTTAAGTCGGTTTGAACAATCCAGATAAGCGCAAGTAAGTACCATTTTGATTAGCCGTCGTACCTACAATGACTGTGCACTGTGTAAACAATGAGTGACGTATATGCGCGAGAGATCACTTCCGGCGCTTGCGTAAACTACGTCAGAGCGCGTACACACCTCACGCACCGGATGCCTGCGCGCGCCCAAAGACAGTTGGACATAGTGGTGTATTAGAGGTAAAAAAATGATATAAATACTGTTCGGTTTCTGACACAAACCAATCATTTTGTGTCTTAGGACATCAATGTGTCGTCACGAGCTGCAGGGTTTAATTTGGATTGGTCTGTGCATGTTTTTTTTACTCTCATAGATTTTGTTACCATTGCCATGCATTATACGACTGATAGACTGCAACAGTTGGAGTTAAAAATCATAATTTGTGTTCTACTGAAGAAACAAAGTCACCTACATCTTGGATGCCCTGGGGGTAAGCAGATAAACATCACATTTTCATTCTTGGGTGAACTATCCCTTTAAGAACTAGTTTGACCAACTAGCAGTTAGCCAAGAGATAATCAGTCTCACTTTTCTGATTAAATTGGGCCAATCGTTTTTGTAACTGACTTAGTTATGACCAGTCTAGAAGAAAACAAATTAAATGGCTAACTTTTTAAGACTAGTCTAAGCAGTTTATGCAACCTTAACTTTACAACCTGAATGTTAGAGCATCTAGGCTGTTCTGAGATCAGGGTTTTATGGTCACAATATTTCAAAGTACTAGGAATCAGTTCGAGTGAATCGTTTACAGTTTATTCACGACTATATGAACAAAGTGCACATAGGCTATGCCAAACATAATATTACTAAAAATAGCTATGTAGTAAACTGTGAGCCATTCTATACTTTATAAAACGTTGTATGTTTCACTTCTGTTTATGGTTTGACTTTTTATATTTTTTTACACTTAAAGGGATGCTTCACTTCTTTTTTCAATTTCGAATGAAAGTCTTGAATGTTTTGTGGGTGCAGTGAACTAGTTTTGATTCCTCATCTTTGGCCCTTTTATATTAAAATATATATATACATATATATATATATATATTACTTATATATAAAAGAGTACATTATCATAGTAGCCTACATTTGTATGTCAGTGTGTGACACGGGCTCACGAGAGCATGATTTATTTTTTATGTTCCTCTTCTTCAGGCAATTGGAGAATTCATTCTGACAGACAGAAATGTCAAGATCAAGAAAAAGGGGAAGACTTACAGTATCAACGAGGGCTATGCTAAGTACTTTGAGCCTGCAGTGAATGATTATTTAAAGCACAAGAAATACCCAGAGGTGGGTTCTGTACGACATTATCCAAACTAGCCCAATAATATTGCTTTGTCTGTTTTTATTGGCAACATTTATTTTTTGGACCTAAATGTGACTGTAAGATCACAGCACCTACACAGCACAAATTTAAAACTTTGTTCCTCATGTGATCGAGCAAACATACTCACATGTTCATGACATGTTGCGACAGAACAGGGATTGTTGCTTAGCAGGCCTGTTTAAAACAAAGTGTGAGTCTGAATAATGCAGGTCAGAAGTTTGCATGACTGCATTACTGTGCTCAGCATCAGCTGACGTTTACACACGTTACATGCTGGAAAGTGAAGAGCAACTTCCTCAGCGGGAATTCATGTTCTGTTTTCTGAACTGGAACATAGACTCAGCATATCTAACTGATTCATGTTAGTCTGCACAAGCCTTGAGAGCGACTGGGTGCAGTGTGATCATAAATTATGCCGAGTATGATTTTTTCCGTGGGTCAGTTGGTTAATTATTAAAGTTGCTTGTTTTTAGTGAATACTTGTAAGATCTTGTCTTATCAGGAATACATGCTCTTGCTTGTTCATTTTTTGATCATCTGATGGTGATAAGCAGGAAAAAGTAAACAAGAGTAAAGACTGAAGAGCTTGTCTTAGATAATGCATGGGAAGATAATAATGAGAAACTTGCTGTTTACATACATTGTTATCAGTCATGTTTTATGTGGGATGTCATGTTTTCGTAGAAGTGTTGTCAGAAACATGCTATCTCTGATTTCATGACGTATTGATTTGTTTGCATATTGTGTCTGTCTTTGCTTGAGGTTGGCTAAGGGCCACCCCTAAAATCCATATTGAAAACCAAGCATTACAACTTCATGTAGTTCCTTTTTTGTCGTGTTTACTGCTCACATCTTTCTAAAGGAAAAGGCATTACATTAGGTGACAGTTGTGTGGGATTTTAGCTGTCCAGCTGGGTTTCAGTTTCCTAGAACTTCTCACACTACTTCCAGCTTTCCTGTCCTTTTTTATTGAAGCATGTGTGACCTTTGCTCCCGACAGTTATTGTTTTAGATTGTTTGCCAACTGTCGTGCAAGTAGAAATTATTTTGGATTCAGAGATCCAAGCCTAGAAAGAGCATGCATACACAAAATATCTTATTCAGAATGTTTGAGTTTTTGTTTAATTGAATTCTGATATTATTTTTGATGAAATGTGATTGCCTCACAGGATGGCAGTGCCCCATATGGTGCCAGGTATGTTGGGTCGATGGTGTCTGATATACACCGTACCATTGCCTATGGTGGCATATTCATGTACCCAGCCAATGAGAAGAATCCAAAAGGAAAGGTGAGTCGGCTAAGCTTTTACGGCATGATGATTTTTAGCTCATGTGTTTTAAGATATTCAGGACAAACATTCATACAAAAAGCACATCGGGTATTAGTGATGTGAGGAAATAATATAATGAATATGATGAAAGATAAGTTTAATTATACCATGTTACAGTAAAGTGTTTCATGCAGCATAGGTTGTCAGGTTAACATTGTTGTGTCCAGCTTGCCAGTATTATTTATATATTATATGGTATTTATTAATATTCTGAATTATCTTTTATTTTTCTTTATTTTAACTTTGTGTTTTTGATATTTTTATTATTTCTTTATGTATTTTTATTTAGATTTATTTGTGTTTCATTTTTAGTACTTATGAGTGATATTTATTTATTTATTTTATTTCAGTTAGTTGCCAAGGCAACATTTCTCATTTTCGTTCAAGTTTAATTTTAAATCTAACATATAGTTTATTTCAAATTTATTTTAGTTTCAGTTTAAGCTGTAGCTTTAGTTAACAATAACAACACTGCAGCAGACTAGGTCACTATGTCATAACATATAAGAAGACTTTCAAAATCCATAAGCCTGTTGTGTTTTATGCTGTAGATTACTTTGTTTTAGAGCAGGTACAGGCAGGTCGTATTCTGATAACAGATGTCGCTCATTTCACGGCAGAGAGCTGTGTCATTCCCGACACTGGGCAGTGACTAAACACATGACATGAGCCTAGACTGGAACAAATACACACTATAGCATGAAAGCAGCGAACCAGATATTATATCTGCAGTTCATGCTGCTTTTCATAAATAAATACCAGTGTACAAACTTTCATATGTATTGACACATTCCAGTTTCTCTGTTCTACATAGATAAGAATAAAAAGAAACCATTCTCAGTGAACTCAAACTTATTCCATGCTTCTTAGCTGACCCAAATGCACAACTGATAAGTGCTCATGGTTTAGACCCTTTGAAAAATAACCTGAAATGAGCAAATCAGCATTATGTAACTTCTAAGGTTCTCCCTTGTTTCATTCTCTCCAGCTGAGGCTGTTGTACGAGTGTATCCCCATAGCCTTCCTGATCGAGCAGGCCGGGGGCATCGCCACGACAGGCACCCAGCGCGTCCTGGATGTTATTCCCGAGTCACTGCACCAGAGGTTGCCCTTTGTGGTGGGATCCCCAGACGATGTGGAGGAGTACTTGTCCTTTGTCAAGAAACATAAAAAGTAGAGATTTCGGGTTGCGATTTGATCTATTTAAAGCTCACACATGACATCGAGATACAAAAGATCACTGTAGCTTTTTTTTTTTTTTTAAATGCTTTTTCCAGTATTTTAAATCATTATTTTTTTACCCTTATTTCACAAATCACACACTCAAGGTCTTTTCAGTTTAGATTTGCTCTTCCGCCCCTTTGGCAATCTTTCTTCCTCACTTCTTTTGTGAACATAATGTGCCTTCAGCGGTGTGTTGTTAGTTGGGAAAGGGTTTACACCCTCTCGTTTGAACAGACCCCTCCCTACTAGTAGAAGAGTCAAAACCTCCATCATCTCCACTCCGCAAGTCTTAGTTTGCCGGTCATGATGACGGCCCATGTAATGGCAGCGTGCCAAGAGATAAACAAATAGGACACGTTATTTTAGGGTATAAATGAGCTTACCTGTTCTTGACTATCCAATACTTCTTTCCATCAACATCCTCACCCTCAAAACCATAACCAACGGCAAGGACGCCATGATCTAGCTCCTCGCTGCTGCAGTCCTTCTCATAGTAGATGCCTAACAAGAAATATACCTCCATTAGTGCACACCAATTGGGAATCTCCTTCACTAAATTCTCATAATTGAGTCATTTAGTTGGCTTAACAACTAATGGCGAGAAATATGCACACCTGACTGGTAGAACTGGAAAGACTCGTGTCCAGCATCAATAGCCACAGACACCGGCCCCACAGCAGCTATAGCTTTCATCAGAGCATGTTCCTTTCCACTGGGAATGTCAACGAATCCAGTGTCATTAGCTACGCTGTTGTTGGGATCGTAATGGCAGGGCTGATCATCCTGAAAATGATAAGCAGCATGTATGTTATGGTGATCCTTCATATAATCAGTCAGTATAATTTCATAAGAATAAAACGTAACGTAACTTACAGTTCCCAAATAGGGGTAGGACTCCTCGGAGTCCAAACCGTTCTGGTCCTTGATGTACTGGAAGGCCTGGTCCATGAGACCTCCATTACAGCCCTCGTTGCCTTCAGGACGGGAGCATTCCACCAGGTTCTGCTCACTCAGAGACACCAGTTTTCCAGTCTTCCTGAACATCTGCCCCTCCATGGCTCCAGTAGTGCTGAAAGCCCAGCAAGAACCACACTCACCCTGGAAATATCACATATGAAACTGTTTAGACTAGTTGTTCTCAACCAGTTGGCTTCAAGAGGACTTGGACATTTAAAAACAAAATAAGATAAACACAAGCATCAAAATAAAGCTACAACAAATAAAAAAAAAAATAAAAACCTAAATATTTCTATGTTTTTTCTTTAAAGAACAAGTGTTCACACTAAAAACCTTGATATGCGAGGTAGCCTAGTTTTAAAAAGTGTGATTTCTAAATCTGGAAAAAGTAAAATCTTAAAACGCCATGGGCATTTTATTATGAATACACATTTTACTAGTTTTATGTAAAATATTTTGTGTAGAAAGTGTTTAGAAAAAAAAAGAAACCATTAATTTTTTTTAAGATTATTAAAACAAAAAAATATTATACACACACATACATATATATATATATAAATAAAATTAATTTTTTTATTTATTATTTTTTTTTACAGAGGCTAAGAGATCCCATAGATTAAAATATTTTTTTTTTAACTAGGGCTAGGGGGCCTTTGAATATTGTTATGCACAATATGATTTATTTATTATAATACGTTTTCCTGGTGTATAACTGGAAAACACAACTATGGGCTCTCACACATATCATATACATCTACTTCCCAAGTGGTCAGACCATTTCCCCCCCATGGAGTTTAAATACATTTATCCAAAGTGACTTTCACTGCATTCATGATACGCATTTTGTCAGTCCTTGCTTTCTCTGGAAATGAAACCGAAGCTCTCACACATATCATATACATCTACTTCCCAAGTGGTCAGACCATTTTCCCCCCCATGGAGTTTAAATACATTTATCCAAAGTGACTTTCACTGCATTCATGATACGCATTTTGTCAGTCCTTGCTTTCTCTGGAAATGAAACCGAAGACCTTGACATCACAAGCGCCGTGCTCTACTGTTTGAGCTACAGGAAGGCACATTCAAAGGCATTGTTTTTCTAGATATTTTACATATGGGCAACTATCTCACCTGATCCTTCACAGGAGTCACGTATCCCTTTTCTCTCCAGTCCAACTTGTTTGGGACCTCCAGGAAGTTGGGCTCCATGAACAGAGATCCGCTGAATCGTCTCTCCTTCTGGTGTCTGTAGCCATTCATCACCTGCCTGAACTCCTCATGAGTCTGTAGATATAGAACAGTTTGATCAGTACTGAAGGAATTTCATAAATCAATATGCAAACACCTCAAATGAAGTTCTTCTGCAGTCTTACCATATCACCAAAGTGGTTCATTCCGAGTCTGTAAGTGTGTGTGCCCATGGAGTGCTCAAGATTGTGCAGTTCGATCTTTCTCAAGTTTTTCTCCCAGACCATTCGCCTCCACCCCTCCTCCTTCTGTGTGAAAAGAGAGAACACTAAGTCCCACTTCTTGCTCCGTTTTAGACTAGTTCATGTACATTTTAAGCCAGAATGAACCTTTTAAATCTTACTTCATGGTATTTTTTACTGTGCCAGTTCTTCCACTGCTCCCAGTGGTCGTCTAACTGCTTGTCCAAAGTTGGAGCAGCAAACACAGCACTGAGGAACAACGTGAACGCCACCAAATACACCCTCATGATGAAAACACTGGAGGAAAAACAACAACAGGTCAGACATGCTGCAACAAGTGACCACGAACCCGTTTTATCCCGCGTAAATATATCAGATTAAAACGTGTATACGGGAATGCATACATCTTCGTTTTAATGGTGCCATTTTAGTACAAATATTATGGAAGCCAATTGGCACTTAGAAAATTACGAGATGAAATCATAAAAGTCGAAATTATGAGACACCAAGTCATGAGTCATTATTGTGACTCAGCATCTCATAATTTCGCATTATTATGATTTAGTACGCCATCATTCTGAATGACCAAGCACTTGGTTTCTTATGGGGCGGAAATGGGCTTCCATAGGTGTTGTATTAATACGTCCCGAAATACGGCATAAACGTATTTTAAATAGTTTCAGGTGAGTTTGTCACACCGCAAGAGATTGCTAAAACTGCTTGAAATTTCATGTCACATATTCCTACATAATTAATCGTATATTTAAAAGAACTGGCGTCCATTTACATTGACATGAGATCAGATTACTGGCCCGACATCTTTGTTGACAACACCGGTGTTGTGCCGAAAATTTCGGCACCAAGTTACACCTGCAGGCAGCGGTAGCTAATAGCTTTGTTACGAATAGTGATAAAAACCAGTGAGTAAATCTAAAGGGAGAGGGCAAATTACTCATGAAACAATTCTTAAAAACAGAGGCTGACCTAACGTTACAGTGCCGAACAGAAACGAATCTATATCATTGCCTGTACATCTTCTAAAAATGTATTTGCTTACACGGGCCTCCGGACAGACACGGAAGGGAATAAGATTCCCATTTGCAGCAGTCACGGGATCTGGGAGGTTCCAGCCCACAGTTTCCCAGGAAAAGAAAGCAAAGACCGAAACCAGGGCCACGGAAATCGAAAAAGAAACAGCTGGAACTATTTTAGAGGAATGGATATGCGGGGAAAGCGTCACGCTTTACTCCTCTATTAAAACATGGTAACGTTAAAACCGTGTCGCTAGAAAAAAATAAAATACAGACAATTCATAAGAATGCATTGTGTAAAAGGCTCAGCAAAAGAGCGACCTAACAAGCTGAATTTTGTTCTGTATGAAGCATTACTCATTTTTTAAACTTTGCATATAACAAAATTACACTGAAGTTTTTTTTTTTTTTTTTAAACAACAAATGTAAAAAAAAAAAAAATAACTCTCAAGATTCCAGAAAGCTTTAAAAACTGCTGACTCACCCCGCGGTCCTGAAACCAGAAGACAATAATGTGTGTGTGTTCTCGGTCTTCTTCTTGGTAATAATGTGTGTGTTGCAGACGGGCCGCAAGGTTATAGCGCATCTGAAGGCACATTCCTCAATTTCTCATTGGTCGAGATTCTTGTCGATCCCGCCCCCTGATGAACACGTCACAGCATGTGACTCAACAGCACGTGATGGCTTCCCAGATGGGCTTGTAGAGAAAAACAATGTTGCTATCTAAAAAAACAAAACATTCTATTTAACATAAAAATGTTGCATTAGTTCATAAATGTATATAATATGTTACTTTAAAAAGCACTAGTAAACAGCCAATGCTGAATAGTGAGCAGCTATTTACTGTTTTATATTAGAATGCACATTCAGATTGATCGGTTTTCTTTGCAACGATATATATTTTCTGAGATACTAAATCCATTTACAGTATTGTCATACGGAAGTCATAGGCGTTTAAATTATACCTATTATTAACCAACCAATAGTGCTATGCCTTCCAAGTGTTCAAACACAACTAGAAATATGTCACAACTGATTGAAAAAATGTTGATTTAATCTCATTCCATTTTTGTCAAATGTCTGTTAATGCTGTGCGGGTCAACCAAACCAACAAACAACTAGGCTACTAAATCACAAGATTATAAAACAAAAGGGTCTCTGTTTTAATAGACAATTTCACATGTTCACAAAAAAACACAAGTAATAAACAATATGAATGCAGTGCAGTTGCATGACCCTGCTCACACATCAACGGAACACCAAAACCAGTGTATACTGAATTTATGATCAGTATGTCTATGCGAGGACGTCAGTGCAGGTTATCTAGTCCTAGAACTTGACTTTGCGTTTACGTTGAGTGTAAAGCTTTGTGGCAGGCCAGAATTAGAGTGCTGTTGAATCTACAAACCAACAAAGGGGAAAACAGAGTGATTAATGGGCTCGTCTGTGACAAGAAGCACTCAGTAGCTATAGATGGGAAGATTGCTCAGTTATCACTTAAGCCTATCAGCCCAGCGCTTCCAGAATGATCAAAAAGGAGCAGTTAAAAGAAGCATAACTGATCAAGTGTGAGCAACATCTACGTTAATCACGACTCTTGATAATTATGATTAGAGTGTATGTATTCAGTATTACACATTATCACTAAATAGTAATTATGCAGTTTTTTTGTTTTGTTTCAAAGGCAACCATGTCAGAAACAGAGCTGTAAAAAGAAGAGAACAGAAAAGCTTCTATATGTTATGATGAAATAAAGGTGCGGTAATTCCATTTGCTGAATCACGCCACAGACTGACGCCTCCAAAAAACAAAAAACATGACTAATTATTCTTCAGCGGCAATGTCATCATTATTCATTTCAGCGAGCTCGGCTGAATTGAAGGCCTCAGTGGAAGCATACATGCGGAAGCCATTTTACTAAGAATTAATTGGAGGGCACTTTGAGATATTTGAGAAAACTTGGAAATACGTCAGCTGTTAGTAGGGCAGGTTTATTAACAAATTACATAATTTACACCAAGGAATCTGGAATTATGTAGGGTAAAATGTACTGTCCCAGAAATCTTCATGTCCTCGCAATCTAACATCTCTTCTTTCAGACCTCAACTAAAAACCTATTTTTCTTTAAAGTTTTTCAGCTCACTTCTCTCTAGCGTTTATTATTGAGTTTGCTATTTTTTTTTTACTTGTACATGTATGAATGCTTGTAACTACAGCAACCCTGGAACTGAGACTTAATAAAAAAAAACAAAAAAACATTATTTTTAATTTTTGAAATGTAAATGGAAAAATACTGCATAAACTGAATATTAAAAAAAAACACACACTGAAGAGAGTCATTGAGTAAACAATTTATTATAAAAAAGTGGTACACTGTAAAGTTTAAGGAAGTATTAAGGACATGGCATTCAGAGACATGCGAACATAATATAAATAGAGAAATAATGTGAAGGTCTTGTGCAAAGAGATGACTACAAGTCTTAAATACACCAGGATAAATTCCCCTCCGATTTACCCTGTTAAAGTCTTAAGAGGGGCAACCATGAACCTTGACCACAGCTAAACAGAGAAAGAGCTCCATAATACATCGACTTATTCACAATATAAAAATGTGCCTTTTGGAATGAGAGAACACAATATGTCCAATTCCCTTTTAGAAAAGTTTGTGATTTTAAGCCTGCAAGGGAAATGATGAAAGGTTGGAGAATAGATCCATCCCAAAATATAATATGGAACAGTTCTTTGAATTTTTTTGGACATTAAAAAAGGTGATGAAACTGCAACTGTCTCATACAAAGGAGAGCAAGAGTTATAGCATGTGTTAGATGTAACAGAGTCTTTGCTGCCATCTACAGTTTTCAAGTTGTCACTTCATTTGTGTCCAATATACCACATTCAGTACAATCAGACAGGAGGAATGGCATCGCTTTTAAGTTTCAATGCAAATGTCAACATATTTTATGACACTTTTGCCTCATTTAAATCCCTTAAAATTGCATTTTATGATTAATTCTCCAGTGTACAGAATACACATGACTATTTGTTCCAAATAAAATTCTTAAACACTCAACAACAGTGTAAATGTAAGAAACAGATTATATTGAAATAACAGCTGAACAATTGTAACAAAGATCATGCTTATCAAAGACACTGCAGCAGACATAACTGTTATAAAGAAAAATTAAATCTTACTTGTCATGTAGGTGCCTGGAATATTTCAGCATTTCCATTTGACAGGTAGTCAGAACCGTAATATTTCACAAAAGTGAATAAGTGTGAATAAGACAAATGTGAGGGATTTTAGGAACCACACTTTAAAATAATTTCCCATGTATTTCGACTTTTAAAAGAAGGTTTAGCATGTTTGTTTGTGCTTCATTAGTCGAATACAATTCTGTCTGAATAATGATGCATTGTAGTTGCAATAAGGAACATTCAGGTAGTAAATACAAATTACCCAATTTTGTATGTTTGAGAAAAAGTGTAAATCTATTGCTGCGTAATAGATAAGTTAATTAAAAGCTTCATAAGACAGGTAAACACCGAAACACTTGCAGAGGTGCACATCCAATTTTGAAATCTACAATGATGGCTCTTTGTCAACAGTTTACCATCTTCAAGGCACTCAATAGTTTGAGTCGTTTATTAAATAATGCTGCCAAGCACTTAGTGATCTATCATGCGGTCATCAAATTTAGCATAATTTCCCTATAACAGCTGTCCGAATATATAAAAGTAATTGCAAACTGCAGATTTTTCATTCAATAAGGACATTGGGGAATGTGGGACAGTCAATAAAAGATTTGCAGAAAAAAAAGTACATAGGCACCTTTTCAAAGACACCAAGAATGAACATTCAGAAATCGCGAAGGGCAACAAAATGGACATGAGCTGAGTATCTGATTCAAATACTTCTGTCTCAGGACACCAGGGAGCTTGAGATTTAACACCACTCCAACGATAAACTGCAAGTTTCTCTACAGACACAAGTGACGTCCTAACGAGAGATCACGGAACTGATGGAGTTGTAGGATGTGCCGCCCCCATTGCACACCGGGCTGTAGGGCTCTGGTGGGGTGCCCAGAATCTCCAAGTTGACCCGGAACACTGGTGCAGCTCTAAGGAGAAAATCCGCTGCATCCCGACGGCCAAGTTCTCGTAACTTAGCTACCAAAATGCCTATGGTTGAATTGGGTTGCTGGCTCCAATCTTGCAGGAGCAAGGCTGTGGGACTGGGAAGGGAAAGGGGGTCTGCAGGCGGAGTCCCATTGGTACCAGAACTGTATTTAGCAGCGAGCTCGCTAAGGCCCAAGTTCATGGCAAGCAGGCACCAGTCCTTCCCAAGGGCATCTGGCGGGTCCAGCAGACGGCAGAGCTTGCGTCTAGCCAGGTGACTGACTTCCGCCACGGGCACTTCCCCTCCAAGCCTGCCCTGTTTGTAGACATGGGTGCAACCTAATGCTACGATACTGACAAAGCTCTCACGATAGCCACCCATGGTGTTCGACAGGGCGTTCTCGCCTCGTGCTTGAGTGCGGAAAAAGTCCCTCGGTTGGTAAAGCATAACAGGGCCGTGGTGTTCCCGCAGCTGCTGAGGGCTGAGATAATGTCGGGCGGTAAGCAAACCGGGTAATGTAGCAGCTAACAAACCCTCTGCCATGCTGCATAACGTGTCCAATAAAGCATAGCAACGGCCGGGATCCGAGTCAGGTCCTCGTAACTGTACCTCCATGCCCTGCCCATGGTTCACAAGCAGAACCAGTGCCTCAGCACCACCAAGTCCAACCCGAGCTCCACCGCTCCACAACCTCACATCCTCAGCCTCGACCTCTGGCTTCTGCTGCCGGCTCCACCTGCACAAGTTAACTTGCAACTTATGGAAAAGTCCACAAGGGAATGGTGCCAAGTGCTCGGCAGGCACTACTCGCACTCCACCGTAAAGCAAAGTGTCCTCGCCTTCTACATCTTCCTCATCCGTCCAGGTGTGCTGTAGGCCACTTGTGCGTATGAGGGCAGGAATGTCGACCATTCCTGGGTTGGCAAAGTCACGGGCACATACGTCCATGGCGTCAAGCACCTGGAGAAGTTCATCAATGTCACCTTCTGAGACCAGGTTTTGGAGTTCTTCCACACGGTAGCGGCCACGGTAGTGGTGGATCGCTTTGGGGGTTTCAATCGAGAGAAGTTTGCCAAGTACGTTACTACAAAGCCAGCGAGGATCTAACAGGACAACATCCTGGACAGTCTCACTTTGCATGATGTTAATCTAGAAGAAAGAAAGGGAATAAAACGGATTGAGTGCAAGCAAATGGGTGATTCTAAGATTTCTGTTTAAAGGCCTGTTCACCCCAAGACAAATATTCGGTGAGATGAAATTTTTCATTTTAAATGAATGACTATTAATGCATCTGTTCAGACCGTCACAAACATGCACATGCCGTCAAGGCATCATTTTTTTATGTAACGATGTTCTAAACTGATTTCAACCAAACTAACAAGAAAACTGGCCAACCAATAAGATTCATGCTTTTGGTCACATGCCCAGAGTGCTACTGTTACATAAAAATATGACTTGGTGGCACTAA